GTATATGTCATTCCCAAGACGAATTGACGCTGTATTGGCCGCAAAAGGAGGCCCTACACCATACTAATAAATTATTGTGGTCTAAAACCAGGTGTTTCAGTTTCATTGTCCAACCCCTGTATGTACAGGTAGTTAAAAATAACTTTTAAAGTAAAACCTTTGCAACCCCAAAAAATATAAAAAAATAACACTATTTTTAAGTATTTGTTTTGTTTAAGAAGGCTGTATTTTTATTTAAAAGTACGTCCTGTTCTATTTCAGGTGGAACTCTAAAGCCTGGATTTGGTTTTCCAGCATTCAGTGGAATCGCTCGCCTTTGTTGGCTGGTTGACTTGTTTGGTGAGCTTTCAGTAACAGCAGCAACTTTTGAACAGGATGCTGGAAAAGGCTACAGCAAGATGACGGCACAGCTGCTAACTTCTAACAGCAGGTTAAACATCATCTTGTCATCTTACATCAGTGTTTACTGCAGACATACGTCTATTAGATTAGTTCTATTTTCAACGTTCTCTTTCAGCTTTCCTTTATTATAAAGAAATATAAGCAGCCCTGCTTTTTCCTGGCACATTTGAAAACCAAAACACAGACTTTTCAGTAAATTATTTAAATTTCTGCTGCAGTTGGGTTAATAGCCAGAGATAAGTCTAGTTATCTACTGCCTTCATTATTCCTAAAACCCAGGGATTCATTTCCTTGCAATATCAACTGTATATTAAAATCAGAGCTAGATGAGCTAAAATAAGTCTGTGTGAATAAAGCTGCCTTTGTTCACACAGTTCTAGTTTATTGTCTGAAATCTGGCTGGTCACAGGTGTCCAGAGTGTTTAAAAGCAAAACAGTGTCCTTTACAATGTAAAAAATAATGTGCTAGTCTCACTAATGTAAGTTAACAATTAAAAAGAAAACACCTGATTACATTTTCTGTAACTATAAAAAATGCTATTTTAGGTGAACCATAAGTTGGAATAAAATGGTTAAAATCACAAAGTTGCATAACATCAGGTCAGTGACAACAAACAGTCGGCTAGTTTTCTTTGACAGAAAACATTTTACGAATTGCCATAGTAAACCACACTTGACTGCAGTGTTTTTTTGTTAGTACTAAATTGGAACATATATAACTGACTCTGAATCCATTTGTATAATTGTCCTGAATATTTGTGATCTGTTTGTTTTGTAAAGTGCCTTGAGATGACATTTGTTGTGAATCGGCGCCATATAAACCAATAAAATTACATTGACATTTAGTTTGGTTTGCTCCTGACTGCTGAGATTCATGGAGCTGTCTGAGGCCTTCAGAAAGAACATTGTATTGGTTTCTGAGTCTAGTAAGGGATTTAAAGAGGTCTCAGAAGAAATCAGCCATTCCACTGTGGTGAAAAGTCTATAAGTGGAGTACAATTAAAAAAACACCCGCAATACTAAGGGATAACCATCAGAGCGAGTTCACCCTGACAGCAGAACGCAAGATGCTAAAAGAAGGACATGGATTACTAGATTACTGGAATCCAAAATCTTTAAAATGTTATCACAAAGCCTACTGCAGACATCTGCACTGTGAAGAACTTAATGCTGTCTACTCTATTGTGCAGTTGCTGAAGCATAGTGATTAGAACAGCTGGCAAATAGCTGAGAAAGCTTGAGTAAAACCTACTGATGACTAAGCTGTTGTGCAAAAAAGTATTAAAGTAAAATAATATTGAGATACCGTGGCTGCACGGTGGTGCAGTTGGTAGCACTGTTGCCTTGCAGCAATAAGGTCCTGGGTTCAACTGCATGGAGTTTGCATGTTCTCCCCGTGCATGCATAGGTTCTCACTGGGTACTCCAGCTTCCTCCCACAGTCCAAAACCATGACTGTTAGGTTAACTGGTCTCTCTAAATTGTCCTCAGGTGTTTGAATGAGTGTGTGCATGGTTGTTTGTCCTGTGTTGCCCTGCAATGGACTGGCGACCTGTCCAGGGTGTACCCTGCCTCTCGCCCGTAGACTGCTGGAGATAGGCACCAGCTTCCCTCCGACCCCCTATGGAATAAGCGGTATAGAAGATGAATTAATGAATGAAGGAATATTGAGATACAATGTAATTAAAGTTGGTCTGTGCATTTAGCTGTGCATTGTGACTATGTGATGTCTTCCTGAAAATGGCAGGTTCATCTTTGGCAAACTGTTATTTTTCCATGACTGAGCAGCATGCAGCAATGCCATGTAGACTTTGGTCAACTGTAAATGTCTCTAAATAAAACAGAAAGGGAAAAAAATCCTTTAACAGTAGAGTAACAAAAACACAATAAAAAGAAACAGTATAACAGGTAAAGCACCTCTGCAGCCCATCTTGAACCTTAGCTTGACCCAGGAGAAAGTTACAGTGTATTGGAAGACCTCCTGTCTAGTTCCGGTACCAAAGAAAACTGATGATTGTAGATTTCAAGAGTAACAGGGATAGGTCTAACACTATTTCCATCATGGGAGAAGAAGTGGAGGTGGTGAAGGAGTATTAATACCTCAGTGTTCACCTGGACAACTGACGAGTCGAGATGCGACTGTGAAGTCGTCTACGAGAAGGGACAGCGCAGACTGTACTTCATGAGGAAGCTTAGGTCCTTCAGGGTTGCAGCAAGATGCTGCATATCTTCTATAAGTCTGTTGTGGAGAGTGTGATCTCTTCTGCCATCATCTGCTGGGGTAGCAGCATCAGAGCCAGGGACTTAAAAAAGCTCAACAAGCTAATAAAGAAGGCTGGTTCTGTTTTGGGGACTCCTCTGGAACCTCTGGAGATCATTGTGCAAAGAAGGATTCTTCATAAAATGAAGAACATTATGGAGAACCCTGAGTATCTTCTTCATGGGACTGTTGTACAACATCAGAGTGTCTTCAATGAAAAGATTCTTCAGATGTGCTGTAAGACAGATTGAATTGAATTAAAACTGACTAAAACAGGTTTTGAATGGGTAGCACATAATTATTTGTAGTTTTGAGCCGGCTGAGAATTGTTGGGACCACGGCCAAGGATTTCAACATGAAAACTCCGGTACAAACTTTTCTGGAGCTTTCAAAATAAATTGCATTTAACCGACTTCCAGCACAACTTCAGAAGGGGAAAGGGGGGTAGCAGCGGACTTCCCATGATGCCACTGCCCGTATAAAACCCCCACCTTTCCAATGGTCCTTTCTTTTCCACTGCTCCTCTGCGGGACCAGGATAGGGGACGCAGCGCGCTAATGTCTCTTTGCTGGCATACAGACATAAACTCTTCAAACTGGATTCAAGGGTGTCATATGATCATCGATCATATGCACTGAGTTAAGTACAGAAAGAATGAATTACTCTCTGTGTATCCGGTATTCATTCATGAAAGGGGGTAATAATTAAGGTACAAGCCTGGCTTGACTTTCTCTCTCTGAGGCCTGCAGAAGCAAACTGTGTTCCAGAGAAGTCCCCTGTAGAGACACTGTCTTTACAAGCCGAGCCTGAAGGACGGACAATGGCCCCGCATCACCGTGGTTTATGGTAATGTGCAATTGGTTGGTGGACAGAACGAGCCGTCTTTCATCCACAGCTACGGAGGTTAGCTGGAAGCTAACCCTTTGTTCACAGAGCTTTCTTCAAACTTCGTCACCCGGACAACTCCTCAGCATGGTTCATACGAGGTTAGGTTTTTTTATGCAGAGTAATAGAGAGATGTTTAGGATGAAATGATCTGAACGTTTTTAATTTTATGAAGTTTGGTTTTGTTTGTGTTGAACTCTGCTATCTTGGTGCTAGCAGGCTATCTGCAGCACACGTGCTCAGCTTTGTGTTCTGTGTTTGTGTGTTTTTAAAGTTAAGACAAACTTTATTTAAAGGGTGATTTTAAACACAGAAGATCGGCCATAACGCGCCGTCCGCGCTCATGCATTTTAACCCTTTTATTAACGGTATTTTAAAGGTGTGTGTTTGATTCTGGTGCTAAGCTATCAGCTTCTTTTGTTAGCTTTCACTGCTAACAAGCTAAGAACACGTGCTTGCCTGCTAGGGAATATTTAACAGAAAGGTTGTTAGTTTTCAAGCTAGTAAATAATAGTCCCTAAACATTATTTTACTAAATCTGATAACTAAGTAAACACCATTAAGCCCCATTTCTCCAGAAAGATTTGGCTCTTTTCCAAAATATTTCCTTAATAATATTTCTTTAAATATTATTTTAATAAATAAAGGCAGCTAATGAGACCCCGTTGAGAATTAGTCATCCAGAAGGTTGGTTTTATTCAGCAGATCATTCTTTAAAACATTATTTTATTAAAATAATATTTTATCTGATCTTGCATTGTGAATGGTTGTCTAAAGGTGTGCTGATTATTGCCTAAGTTAGTTCCAAGACTAACTTAACTTCACTTCCAGATTCTTCAAGATAATCCTTGGTTCTCAAACATAAACATTGATTCAATTCAATTCAGTTTATTTATATAGCGCCAATTCACAACACATATTGTCTCAAGGCACTTCACAAAATGCTCCGTGCCTAATACATCGTAAGAAAAAAACTACTAGACTACATGATGGCACGTTCAAGGAAATCTTGTAAATATTAGAATTGTGAAAAATGAACCTATTATAATAAACAAACACCCAAAACAAATAGTGGTGGGTGGCTGTTAACAGTTCAAACACAAAAACAGATAAATTCTGTCTCTTACACTCTCCCACACTTATGAAATTTTGTCCCGACATCCAAATGTACATTGTACAGGAGTCCTTTCTATGGGAAGGAAAAGTAAATGTTAATGGATGTAGCTCCTTTAGTTGTTTCACCTAGAAAGAAAGAACAGATAAACTCTGAGCCAGTTTTCAAGGTTAGAGTCTGAAAGAGAGCACATATAATTAGTTACAGTAAAAGCTCAGTCAATTGCTATGTCTAGGAGAGAGAAAGGGTTAAACACTGAAAGACAGGGCCATGTGGATCATCGGTAGAGGGTGAGCATTAAGTTGTTGCCAGCAGAAGCTTGGACGATGCCCCTCTCCAGAAAGGTGTCACAGGTAGACACAGAGTCAGGCCAGGTGTAGCTTCTAGGAAGAGAAAAGAGAGAGAACATAAAGTTAAAAGCTGAAATAACAGCAAATAATGCAAAATTGGAGAGTAGTGTGAGAATGTAGCGAAGAGGGTGAAAGTGGTCATTATGTCCTCCAGCAGCCTAAGCCTATAGCAGCATAACTACAGAGATAGCTCAGGATAACCTAAGCCACTCTAACTATAAGCTTTATCAAAAAGGAAAGTTTTAAGCCTAGCCTTAAAAGTAGACAGTTTGTCCATCTAGAGCCCACTGATGGCCATTGTTATACTA